CAAGTCCAGGAAATGCAGAGATTCCAAACAAGATGAACCCAAAGAGGCCCACACCAAGATACGTCATAATTAAAATGCCAAAGTTTAAAAACAAAGAGATAATCTTAAAGCAGAAAGAGAAAAGCAGTTAGTTACCTGCAAGGAAGTTCCCATAACTGTCAACTGATTTCTCAACAGAAACTTAGTAGGCCAGAAGGGATTGGCATGAAATATTCAAACTGAATGATAAGCAAGGACCTACAACCAAGATCACTCTACCAAGTAAGCTGTCATTTAGAATTAAAGGCCGGACAAGAAAAAGCTACAGGAGTTCATCACCAGCAAACCTTATTCAAAATGTTAAAGGGTCTTCTTTAAGAAGAAAAAAGAATAAAAATATGAATAATAAAGTGGCAATAAATACATATCTATTGATAATTACTTTAAATACAAATGGATTAAATGCTCCAATCAAAACACATATAGTGTCTGAATGGATAACAAAACAGCACCCTTACATATGCTGTTCACAGAAGACTCACTTCAGATTGAAAGACACACAAAGACTGAAATTAAAGGATGGAAAAAGATATTTCACAAAAATGAAAATGAAAAAAGCTGAGGTAGCAATACTTACACCAGACAAAATAGACTTTACAATAGGGGCTATAACAAGAGACTAAGAAAGACCCAGCAATTTCATTTTGAGGAGAAACCCAACACTGTAAATCTAAAAGACTATATATTCACTGCAGCATTATTTACAACTGCCAAGCTATAAAAGCAATCTAAGTGTCCATCAATAGATGAATGGATAAAGAAGTGGTACTTATATACAATGGAGTATGATTCAGCCATAAAAAAAAAAATGAAATCTCGCATCCACAACAACATGGATGGACCTAGAAGGTATTGTGCTGAGTGAAGTAAGTCAGAGGAAGACAAATGCCCGATGATTTCACTTATATGTGGAATCTGTAAGTGAAACAAAATAGGCAAACTAGCAGAACAGAAATATCCTCATAGATAAAGAGAACATTATGATGGCTGCCAGATGGCAGGGGGTTGGGAGGATGGGTAAAAAAGGATTAAGAAGTACAAACTGGTAGTTAGAAAATAATCAGGGAGATACAAAGTACGGCATCGGCAATGTCGTCAAAAGTATTGTAATAACTATGCACCGTGTCAGATGGGTGCTACATTTATTGGGTTGATCACTTTTTAGTCACAAAAGTCTGATAACTATGTTGCACATCTGAAAATAATACAATACTGTATATCAACTGTAATTGAAAAATTTTTAAAATATTAAAAAAAGAAAAAGTGTGCAATCTCTAGATTATAAACATAGCTGCTAATCCTCCTGTAGTTGATAACGATGGCGATATTATCAAAATCCCAATAAAGATAAAGACAATCAATGGAGAAGTAATAAAAGGTGAGACAAATTTAGAAAAACATTTATTTTTTATGTGGCTTAATATCTCTGTGACTAAAAATTTAAAATAAAAATGGTACTATTTTATGCCAGTACATTAAATGAAAGTGTATAATTAAGCAGCTAATAGAAAACCCAAGGACTCTCCTGCTGGTTCAACTCCCAGGCTACAAACAGGAGACCTCTTACCAGGGCCCCCCCCCCCCCACCACTCCCCAAAATGGTAGATTTAGATCTGTGCCTATCCCAAAGATGGGACATACAACAGAGAACGTGCACACTTGTCCCCTCAACAGAAATGAGAGTGCTACAAAGCCAGGGAGAACATGCATTTCACGTCCACATCATGTACATACAGTCCTCCGCCTAGCAATCAGCAGGCATCTTGTCAATAGACATTTGTTGAATAAATAAACAAAACAGGTTCACATTCTACTCCATCAATAACAGTTTCACTTGGTCTGTGTACCAGATATAGGTTCACTCTTTGTGGAAAAACAGTCTCAAAATAATCTCCCAATAAGTTCAGGACAGGGATGCAGTACAGAGTAGCAGTAAATAACACTTGATCAAATCCCAGTATTGCCCAGAAACTGGGCAATTGTGGGCAAACAGCCCAACCTATGCATGCCCCTCTTTCTTCTCTAAAATAGGATTTGTAACAATGGTACCTACACCCATAAAGTTCCCAGGAGATGTGAATGTGACTTCAGATGGATAGTACTTCGCATAGTGCCTGTCACACAGCACAAGAGTTCCACAAATGTTTAGGTGCTATTTTAAAAATAAACACCTTTAAATGTGAATCCAGGCTGAGTGAATCAAATATAGAGGGGCCTTCTATACACACACCCGCACACCCCACAGTTGTTTGTTCTAAGATGAGCCTAAATAAAATATTGCCACCAAAATATTTAGGTTCACAAGCACCGTCTTTAAAATATGAAAAGTATAATAAGTATTAAAAAGAACGTTCATCTCACTAACACAAAAATGAAAATTAAAACAAGATCTTTATCACCCATCAAATCAGCAAAGATTTTAGAACGATAATGACGTCAGGATTGTGAGGTGAAAGGCAGGCGGTCTCACCTGCAGTAGTAACTGATACACTGCCATTTCCCACCTCACATATCTTTAGCAGAGTTACTTTCAGAGTATCAAAAAAAATTGGAAACAATGTTTAATATCCATCAAGATAAGAGTTAAGTAAATTATAGTGCATCAGTGGAAGTAAAGTACAGGCAGCTGTGAAAGGATTTCTGAAAACATGGCGGGGGATCAGGATGTACATAAGCTATACGAATCCATTTATGGTTTTTCTTGTTTTTAAGAAAGGTAACAATAATACAAAGAAAAATACAAAAAGGAAGCAGAAAATTCACTAGACTAGGCCTACAGTTTATTTCTAGGTTGTGGGATTCTAGACGATTTTTGTTTTTTCTCCTGGAATTTTCCATATTGCATAAGGTATTCTAAAGTGATATGTATTATTTTTGAAGGTCAGGAAAAAAACCCTGTAAATCTTATTTTGTCAACACACGGCTGCCAGGAACAGACTCACTCATTGTTCCCCTAAAAATCACGTTACTAATGAGGATGTCATGATCAGCAGTCTGAGGTCAACCCAACTGCAACAAATCACACTCTGCAAAATAACTTCATGATCTTAAGAAAAGGCAATTTTTTACCTAAATTATATGATATAAGCCTTAACGCCTGGGTCTGCCAATAGGGTTCAAGGCCTTCCCAAATATCAGTGAAGACTGATGAGGTCTTGATCCTGTACCCATCATTGTACTTGATATAAAAGGCTTCTTAAAATTCTAAAAAAAAATTTCTGTAGGAATTCTAGACACTATTTCAAAGTGAGAGAAATGAAATGTCCCGACAGTTGTCACTGGTAGCCCTTTCCTCCCCCCTTTTTTTGCCTTTTAGACAAAAATTGAGAACAGCTTTGAAATCATTTTCAGAGTGCTATATATTGAGAAGAGCCTTTAATATATAACCAGTCATCTCCCTACCCATTTTTATATAATCATTTTAGATATACATGCCTTAAACTTCTGAGTAAAAGTAAAATTCATGAAATATACAATAGGCCAATCCACTACAATAGTTTCCTAGTTTTCACTTTTTTTAAAGATTGCAGAATGAAACAGATAAGTGACATCAGCATTGTTTACTCCTTGCCTTGCATAAATGCTGACTGGCCTTCAACGACTATTTCAGTGCACTATCAGGAGACAAGGAATGACTCTTACATGTTAAAAGTTTGAAAGTTTAGACTGTCACCTCAAAGCTTCACTAATTTTGTAGATCTCCTTTATCACACTGGTATGCAAATACAGTTGACCCTTGAATACTCAGGGGTTAAGAGAACTCACACCCCCACCCCAATAGTCAAAAATCCCTAAGTAACTTTAAACTACCCCCAAACTTAACTACTAATAGCCTATTGTTGACCAAAAGCTTTACAATAAAATTAACAGTTGGTTAGCACATATTGTATTTTGTATGTTATATGTATTATATATTGTATTCTTACAATAAAGTAAGCTAGAGAATAAAATATGTTATTAAGAAAATCATAAGGAAAATATACTTATGGTATTTACTGAAAAAAAAATCCACATAAAAGTGGATTTGCACAGTCTAATAACCCTGTGTTGTTTAAGGGTCAACTGTACGGTTGAGTACAGTCCTCAGCCAGAACACACATTACCTGTTTACTCAGCAGTGACAACTCTACAGTGTTGATGCTAATCTTATGCAGCACCAGGAGCTGCCCTGAGAAGTCTGTTCGCATGGCTATTCAGCAAAACACGATCAGAGAACAGAACCCTCCTGTGGCTACTTCCTAGAGGCTGAGGAATTGCACAGTAAGGATGATAAACATGGTTCAAACTCAGCTTTTCCAAGGATGAACACACGTAGAAAGAGAAGCTCAAACTGGAAAAATAAACAGAGGGAAATCTTAATGCTCAAAAGTGCAAAATCCTATCTTAACACTATAATGTAGGCTGTGACCATCGCCTCCCCAAACACAATGTGTGTGTAAGTGCTCGGTAAACATTAAAATCAGCATAAGTTTTAGGTATGTTATTATTAGGATTCCCACTATTCTTTTTTAAAAAGATTTTATTTATTTTTAGAGAGAGGGGAAGGGAGGAAGGAGAGGGAGAGAAACATCAATGTGTGGGTGCCTCTCATGCACTCCCCACTGGGGACCTGACCCACAACCCAGGCATGTGCCCTGATTGGAAACTGAACCAGAGACCCTGTGCATCGTAGTCTGGTGCCCAACCCACTGAGTCACACCAGCCAGGGCCCCACTATTCTTAAAACAACAATAACAACAACAACAACAACAACAACAACAACAACAAAAACTTCTTAGGAACTGCAGCCAACTATGGAGGACAATATATACTTCAAGGAGAATATTAAGACTGTATATTCTTATTTATAACATTATCACACTTCCTGAGATGACTTAAATAGAATATTTCACTAATATTGTCTCCTAGAAATGACAATTTCATCACTAAAACATAAATGAAGAGGAGAAACAAGTACTTACTCACAATACCAAACTGTCCCCAGAAGAGAAGCACAGCCAGCATTGGGAAAATAATGATAAGAATATTTTCATTTGTAGAAAACCATGAAACTGAGAAGAAAGAACACAAAAAAATCACAATTAATATATGCTATTGTAACTTGAAGTCCTGCCAATCAATGGCCAACAATATATTTTATTGTGGAGATGGAAAATAAAGATAATTAGTTAAAACTGTGACCTTAAACAAGCACATAAATAATTATACATAATTTATTTATATAACAGATATTTATGAAACTAAAAATACTAGTTAGTTAACTGTTCTCTACAACATTCTCCCTAAGCTGGGATTTACAGACGGAGGCAGCACGCCACAGGCTCTGAGCACAAGGCTCTGCAGCCACACTGCCCCGGTCCGAAACGTGACTCTCACTACAATCCCTGTGACACTGGACAGTCTTACCACCTCTCTGTTCTTCGGTTGTTACTCCAGTGCAAGACAGCACCTACACCTTGAAGGACTGTTGCGACTGTTAACAAGTTAAGATGTGAAAAGGGCTTAAGACAAAACTTGGCACGAATAATTTACCTTAAAGAAGAGTTAAGTCTTCCTGTAAAGACTGAACCAGGGAATGGAAGTGAGGAAGTTGTACAACTGGGTACCCACCCCCCTTACTCTGACTTAAGACCAAGACAGAGGTGGGCCTGAGCTTTTCTGAAACTTACTCTGGAACAGATGTACTCATAAGCAATTAGGCTTAAACTGACAGTTTACATACAAAGTAACATGAAGAGCTTTAGGTGTTAAGGAAGCCTCTATTAGGTGGGTCACAAGTTACCTAAACAGTGAAAATATAGCCACCCATTCTATATAAAGGAAACTGTGATATTAACACTTCAAATGCAGTTTGTTGAGAACTTTTAAGACCATATATCTATCTATGAAATTTCTCCTGTAACAGTAAAGCCAAGTAAACGTACCAAAAGCATTTCAAAGTCGGCCTGTCTGGGAGAATCTGCTGTGTGAAGAACACTTCCGAATACTGCCCAACACAAGCACTGGTGTTGCTCTGAAATTAACCCTTTCAAATCCTCCCCTATATCAGCACGTAAGGAACCTAGTGGGCTTGTAAACCATAAGGCTAGCCACACATTTCTTGTGTTAAGCTCATAATGTTAAACTCTGATAAGTGTTCACAAGAATCCCCAGAATATAACAATACTATAAATTCTTATCTTTGAGATACTAGCTTCCTGGAATCTAGCATTTTGCACTGTACACAGCAGAGACTCAATAGGTTTGCTGTTCATGGTGGCAACAGTCATAAGATAGTTTAGTGAGTGAATGGAAGACAGGTGTAGAGTTTTTGGTTGTTGTTGTTGTTGTTTTTAATGTTCCAATGGTTGCAGAAATGGTTTTCAGGTACTCTGAGTTGATACCGCCTTAGTTTCCAACTGAATTGCTGAACATATCCCTATGCCAAAGAAAACCCATTTCAATTCAGCGCAAAATCCTACAGGAAAAACACCTTTGTGAATTATTCTTAGGTTTTCAAATGCCTGAAAAACTTGGTAAAAGCTCTATGTTCTAATGGCTATTCTTAATCAACTTACTTTTCTTTACCCACTTTCTCTATTATTTTGTTTTGAGTTGGGAACATTAACTACTCAAATCCTTACAACTATATTTTTAAGATTTTATTTACTTATTTTCAGAGAGAGAGGAAGTGAGGGAGAAAGAGAGGGAAAGAACCATCAATGTGTTATATTGACCAGCTGCCTCTTGCAAGCCTCAACCCAGGATCTGGACTGTAACCCAGGCATGTGCCCTGAACAGGAATCAAACAGGTGACCTTTCCCTTTTTGGGATGATTCCCAACCCACTGAGCCATGCTGGTCAGGGTTCAAATCTTTGCAATTATTATAGGAGGAACTATTTACCCCTCCTTATTACTGAGAAAACTGAGGCACAGTGAATTAAGGATGATAATTTTGCATGTCCAAAACTGACTCTTGATACCCCTCTCCCCACCCCTGCACGAAACCTTCCCTCCTGGTTTTCACCATTTCAGTAGTGCTAACTACACCTCTCCAGCTGCTCAAGCCAAAAATCTTGGAGTCCCCCTTGGCTCCTTGGCTTCTCTCACACCCCCTCTGTTCCAACAGTCACCCCTCTGGGCTCTACCTTCAAAATACAGCCAGTATCTGATCTCTTATTCAAGATGAGCTGACGATGAAATGTTCTTTCACTGGCCTCCCTATACAACAGAACAATCATCAACAACCTTAGGACCTAAATATTAGTGAAAATGAGAGATGTGTTTGACCCTGGCTGGACCACTCATTTTGCACTTGGTACACAAACATTTATTAAAAGCCCACCATGGGTAGGATACTCTTCCAGGTATTTGAGCTATAGCAGTGCACAAGGAAGGTGGGGCAATGAGCCCAAGGAATGTGAGCAGCAGCTCACATGAACAGCCCCTTGCAGGGTAGTAAGGAAAGGCCTCTGGGGAGAGGAACTAAACCTGAGCCTTGGATGGGAAGGAGCCTGCCATGTGAAAACAGGGAAGAGGAGGCTCCAAAGGAACAGCAACTGAGCAATCGAATGTGGCTACAATTTGCTGATACAGATGGGATGGGAAGAGTTTGTTGGGGCATGATCATGCTGGGTCTTAACAGTTTGTTAAGGTAGTTTGTATTTTATTCTAAGAGCAATGGCAAGTGATTGGAAAGCCTCAAATAGGGAGGAAAAGTGACCTGATTTATCTAACACCTTCTTTGGAAGCCATGCAAAGCAGGACCTATCAGAAAGTCACCGCGGCGGTGGGGCGCGGCCCACACATGCACTCCTGACTTCAGTTTCACTCATCAGACTCCCAGATAAACAGGGGATCACTCCAGAGAAAGGTGACCAGAATGGGGATTCTGGAACCATGAGCAATGGCGGACAGAACTGGGAATACCTACCTTAGAGAAGAATAAACTTGGGGGAGAAATACTGTGGCCCTCCTAGTGAGTGTGAAATTGCAGGACTACAAACCTTAGCCTGACTTACAGAACTGGAACTGCCTGATGATAGGAAGGTACAGTCTCAGCATGACAAGCAGTTAGGCAAAAATTCTGAATGACCAATCAGCTGGGGTGTGATAGAAGTAATTCCTGAATTAGATGGCAAGATAGACTACATAACTACTAATGACTCCAGGCCTCTGTGCAGAAATAATAAGTGTAACAGATATTTCAATGACAGAAGACGGGATTATAGTATACAAGATATTATTGTCTAAGTGATTCCTACATGAAGCTTATCAGAATCACCTGGGGTTATTCAAGCTTCACATACTCTCCCCTCTCAGCTCCCACCCTAAGATTTTAATATGTTCCCCAGAGTAAGTGTATGTGTGTGTAGGGGGGCGGGGTGGGGATGTGACAGGTGTCGTCCATGGTTCTCAGTTTAAAATCCCTGCTTCAGACCTCTCCTGTAATTTACATGAATGTGCTGCCTCCTCTCACTGACATGAATGTCTTACCTCTCTCTAATTTGTTAAGATGGGAAGAGTTGGAGGATCATTGAATCGGACATTCAAGAACCAAATGAGATGATGGGGAGAAACCCAATGTTTCCTATAAAACCACTTACGTGCCCATTAAGCTATTGATTTGGCATGGTAATACTGTCAGGTGGCTTTTAACTCTTGTTCCCCAAAGGGGAGAAAGACACAAAATATTTCTCTAAGGTTCCCTTCAGCTCTAAACTCCTATGGCAGTTTAGAAAATAAACTTAAGAAATAAAATTTCTTAAGAAAATAAATAACTTAGAATGGACTAAGAACAGTATCCAATATTTTTCCATCTCAGGATTAAGAAAAACTAACCAAAGGCGCCATGCCCTCGCTCCACCTGAGCTAGGACTGACACAGCTGTGCCGCTCTCTGGCCCAGTCCCCGGTCAGGCAGGCAGCTCCCAGGAAGGGACCCTCCATATTAGTGAAAGAGCCAGGGAGTAGGAGTAAGAGAGTGTGGTATATGGATGAGTGTTTAATTTTTGCTCCCAAGCCTACGTATTATAAAACCCAGTACTTTGTTTTTCTTATCACTATATAACACAAAAAACTAAAGAAATCACTTCAATCAATCAAGTGTACCTGTCCTTCAAATACATACAGCATACCTCATTTAACTATGCTTCACTTATTACGCTTCACTGATGTTGTGTTTTTCTACAAATTGGAGGCAAAACCTTCCACCAGCATAAAGATTACAACTTGATTTATTGTGATGCTCGCTTTATTGGGGTGGTCCAGAACCAAACCCTCAACACCTCCAAAGTACACCTGCATGGCGCAAACCCTCACAAACACAGAGAACACCAGTTCCCACAAAAGAAGGTCACAATAAAACTTACAACACTAAAATTCAAGCCAAAGTTTTACCTGATGTCTTAGGATTGTGATGACTTTTTTAAAAAAAGATTTTATTTATTTATTTTTAGAGGGAGGGGAAGGGAAAGAGAAAGAGTGGCAGACAAACTTCAACGTGTGGTTGCCTCTCACCCACCCCCTACTGGGGATCTGGCCTGCAACCCAGGCATGTGCCCTGACTGGGAATTGAACCAAAGGGTAGCTGGCCAGCACTCAATCCACTGAGCCACAGCAGCCAGCTGTGATGGCTTTTTTTGAGGTACTATCTTAGCTATAATTCCAGTTATTTAATCAATCCCAGAACTGTAAGGGGGCTCCCCAAATCTCTGCCTGCTGCAGTCAGCCTTTTATAGTTTCTTCTCCTTGGTGGAGAGGTGGGACTGTGAGTAGGATGAATCTCATTCCTCTGATTGTTGTGTCATGTGGCAAAAGGGATTTTGCTGGTGTAATTAAGGTCCTCAATCAGCTGACTTTAAGAAACAGAGATAGTCCTTGGGAGAAGGCTAACTTCATCAATTGAGCCCTTAAAAGGGTGTGCGCTCTTCCTGGCAAAAGAAATCCAACATGTGAGAAGGTTTCAATAAGTGGGAGATTTTCCTTTGCCGGCTTTAAGTACAGAAGAGGCTATGTGGCAAGGAACGGGGCAGCCTCTAGCAACGGAGAAAAGCCCTTAGCACACACCCAGCATAGAAACACAGCCCTCAGTCCTACGGCCACAAGGAACTGAATTCTGCCACAATCATGTGAGCCTGGAACAGGACCCCGGCCTCCATATGAGCACACAGCCTGGCCCACGCCTGGATTTTAGAGCCCTGCCACACCTCAACCAGAACTGCGATTTACAAATCTGTGAGCTAATAAATGGGTATTGCGTTAAGCTGCTTTTTTTGATGGTTATTTGTTATGCAGTGCTAGAAAACTAATATAAGGATCTTGTGATGCCTTCATGTCAACATTATGAACACAGTATATATCATGTTGACAAAGATGGAAGCAGTAAACTGTGCTGTACTTGAACTGACCTTTTTAAACAAAATCCTAATAGCCTGCTTGGGCAAAATGTAAAATCTTAAGATTCTAAGTTTATAACTATTATTTACCTTTAGTATTTGATTGTTAACAAGGTGTCTGAATGGAAACTATATACCATGGTTAAAAAAATACTGGGTTTTGAAGACAGATCTACATTAAAATTCTGACCAAGACTCTGACTTTGAACAAGTGCTCTAAATCTCTCTTTTTTTGAATGGTAAGACCTATATCTGTCTCCTCGAGATATCATATGATCTCTTACTGAGATCATAGGATACAATATACTTGAAGTATGTGGCATCTACTCAAATAAATGTTAGGTTACTTTACTGTTCTTATTTGTACTGTTACCACTTCACTGAAAGCAGGTATCATATATTAGTCACCACTAAATTCAAATTCAAAGTGCCTAGTACAGTGCCTGGCCCACAGTAGATACTCAATAAATCTTTGTTGATGAGAGAGAGAGAGAGAAGGAGGGAGAGAGAGTGAGGGAAAGGGAGGGAGGGAGGGAGAGAGAGGGAGAAAGACAAGGAGGAGGAGGAAGAGGAGAAGCAGGAGGAGGAGGAGGAGGAAGAGAAGGGGGGAGGAGGAGGAGAAGGGGGGAGGAGGAGGAGAAGGGGGAGGAGGACGAAGGGGAAGAGGAAAGGAAAAGGGAAGGAAGAAGGGAGATTTGTTGTCCTACTTATTGATGCATTCACTGGTTCATTCTTGTGTGTACACTGATTAGGGATCAAACTGGCAATCTTGGTATATCAGGGAGGATGTTCTATCCAATTGAGCTACTAGGCCAGAACTCAGTAATAAATCATTTTAAAGTAAGAAAGAGATTAATATATTTACATCTCAAAAAATTCTGTAATGAAGATAGTATCCTCATTTTACAGATAAAAACTGAGGGTCAGATAGGGTGAATTTCCTACATAAGTTTTCTTAAATTAGTTCTATGTTCTTTCCTTGGTACTCTACATGGGTACTAGATGCATATAAAACTATATCTCACTAATAATATTTCCACAGAGTCATTCCTTGTGCTTCCCAAAAGGGAACAAAGAATGGCCACCATTAATCTACATTCTATTAAGAGGAATTCTCTATTAAGCAATTTCTAGTTCTCATTTACGCCAATATTTGCAAAACACACAACATGGTAAAAATGGATTCTATTGCTTAATCCCCAAAGTTCAAAGGATGGGAAAGCCCTGCTTCAATTGACCTTTTTTTGCAGAGGAGTTTCATTTTTTTTTCAGTCAAAAATGGTACAAAACAGTGACAACACTAGATGCTAACATGGACGTGAGGGAGCTAGATCACTTATATGTTGCTGATGAGAATATAAAGGGAATAATCACTCTGGAATACAGTTTGGCAGTTTCTTTAAAAACTAAGACTACAGTTACATACAGCCCAGTAATTGTATTTCTGTACATTTATCCAGAGAAATGAGGACTATGTCCACATAAAAACTCGTACGTGATTGTTTACAGCAATTTCATTATAACAGCCAAAAACAAGGGAGAACAGTGAAAATGTCCCGCAGTAGGCAGATGGTTACACAAGCTGTGACATCTCTATACCATGGAATAGTACTCAGTGCATGGGATGGGGAATGGGGGGGAAGGGGGAGAAGACAAAGTACTGATACATGATGCTGCAGCATGGATGGATCTCAAGGGCATCGGGCTGGGTGAAAAAAAACCCAATCTCAAAAGGTTACATATGCCCTGGCTGGTGTAGCTCAGAAGACTGAGTGTGAGCTGTGAACCAAAGGGTCACCGGTTCGATTCCCAGTCAGGGACATGCCTGGGTTGCAGGCCAGGTCCCCAGTAGAGGGTATGTAAGTGGCAATCACACATTGATGTTTCTCTCCCTCTCTCTCCCTCCCTTCCACTCTCTCTAAAAATAAATAAATAAAACCTTAAAAGAGGTTTTATATAACATTTTTGAAATGACAAAAGTATAGACATGGCGAACAAATGGAGGAAGTGACTATAAAGCGGTTGCATAAGGGAGGTATTTGTGTCAATGAAATCTCCGGATTGTGATGGTAATTACATAGTGTATACATTGTATCTTTGTGTACTTGCTGGCCGTGACATTTAACTACCATTATATAAAATGTAAACATTGGGGGAAGCTAGGTAAAGGGCACACAGCACCTCTCTTCTTTCTTTGAAACTTTCTGTGATTCTATTAGTTATTTCAAAAAAATAAAAATGGGTGTAAAGCCAAATGTCTGAGACCTCTGGTAGAATTTTTTTACATTCCCTGCAACAAAACAACACCTTCTCATTTTAATGGCCCCCAAAGTAAGCACAGTTCATATTTTTATAGAGTACTTTAAAAACAAAGATGGAACAATCACACATAAAATTATAAACTTTGTCTTTATCTCAGATATTGTTACTCCTTTCCCATCCATTTTCTGGCCTTTCAAGTCTCTTGAGTTTATCAATTTTCCTCTCAGTAAACTACACTATATTCTCAAATTGCCACTCCCCTGTTTATTTATTTTTTCATTCCTATGAAACTACATTCCCCTCAGAAAAATTTTAACTAGATATTAGGTTATATAATTCTAGTCTCTCACAGTGCATATGACTCAATAATCTGACCCCTCCTAAAAAGTTCACTTAAAAAAAATGTAGCTCAACTTAATATCAAAGTAATGAGACTTCCAGCCAAGATGGAGGTGTTTGGGCCATATTTGTTGTCTTGACGTGCCTGTTACGCAGTAAGGGAAAGAATGGAAGGCAAACTGAACTGTCTGATGCCATCTAAAGCAGAGGTTCTCAAAAAATTGTCTAATCCTGAGATCAGTAATATGTCTAGTGGTTCTAAATAGAGCTTTCAAAGCAGAAAGCCAGCATGCGCCTATCTGTAGGTAAAGTAATCAGTTGGTACAGCAAGGAATATATAAGAAAGCAGACTGTTTACTTCAGCTAACTTTACAGCTTTATGAAACTCACCAAACCAAGTTTGTGAAGAATGGGCAGGATCATGGCGCTATACCAAAGGCTGAATTCAAATTAATTACATTGGATCCCTAGTTCTTCCACATCTCAGCCGATCCCCACTCCCCAAAAAAAGAACACTGTAGCAAGGCTAAACATAGGAAACCTCAAGGAAACATTATTATAGCCTGATTTTTAATCTCTTGATTCTCCTTCTAATCGATTCTTCCTAGCTGGAACATGGCTTGGATTTGTCAACCCTTGAACAAAGTGCAGATAAAAAAAATAGCTAAATTGGGAGGAGCCTGGAAAATTGATCACATAAAAGAAAGTACTTTTGATAGCAGCAAACAGAAACACAGAGTGGATGACCTCAGGACTACTCACGCTGAAAGAATAGTTCTCAGACCAAAAGTTTGAGAACCATACAATATACAGCAAAGAGTTTTGTTATTAGAAGCAGAAGAGCAAATAAGATAAAACTCGATCTTAAAGCTGCTAAACACTCCATAAACGTTTATTGTTAATAGCCTACTTTTTGATTCATAGGAGTTCCCAGCCCCATTTTGCCCCATTTCACCCCATGTCTAATAGCATCAGGTTGCTACAGGACAACTAATAGACAGGGAAGCTTTTATAGAATTCTTACCTTCACGATATTTAAGTTCTATGAAGGTTTCACCTTCTCTGCTTAATTCTGTTACTTCGCAAGTGTAGTTTCCTGGGACAGCATCCTTGTTATTCATCCTCAAAGATGCAATGCCCTTTAGCAATGCAGGTTTCACGATGCTGGCACTTTCATAGCCAGGGCTGTGGTTGGAAAAATTTCTCTCTCCATCATAGATGAAAATCCAATCTTTTCCAAATTTCCACTTTAAATACATTTCTCGAAGGCTAGCTGCCTCCACATTAGTAACAAAGCATGGGATGACGACAGTTTCATTGCAAGTGGTGTATTCTACAGATTTGACTGGATTAAATGTTAGCTGGGCTGAACCTAGAAAAAAAAAACAAATAGTCTCATTTTATTAGAGAATTCTATACTATATCTTAGATACGCTACAAATCCTTAAGCTAAAGAGCAATGATTCAACTGTTCACTTAAGGAAGCAGTGCATCTACAGAGAGAAGACAGGCAAGGTGAAAAAAAGAAACAAATTATTTTAATATAAACATGCACAGCTGGTAAACAAAACTGTAACTTTTCCTTATTCATTCTCAGTAGTACAAAGTACACATTACCATACATCTTGGGAATAAATTCAGGAACCTCTGTTGGAACATGCAAGTATCTAGCTTCCAGAGCTTTGAAGTAACCATTACTGCTTGCTCAGGTATTTAGAAAAATATTGTCCTTACCATGGGAAATTTTTGAAGAGAAAATCAACCCAAATATTATATTCAGTCTCAACTTCTATACACTTTCTCCAAATAGAACTTGCTAAACTGATATGAAGTTTATCTCTATCTTTATGTAGCATTTCGAAGAAATGTGGCGAGATATTCTGTACTTCAATATAAAAAGTAAATCAGATAAATCACATCACATCTTTCCATTAAGATGGAAAGTCTTAGAAAGCTAAGGAGGAAAAATATTCTGTGTGGCTATTTTCCCATTGCAAAATACAGACAGCATTAGACATTTTGTGTGCCAGTATTATAAAGGATTATATACAATTAAAAGGCATTTTCTCACCCCCACATTTCATTGAAACTATAGAACAATTTCCAAATGAATTACTACAAGTATTCCTTCCTCTTAGAAATCATAAACCCCTCAAAATAAAGCTAAAAAACAAGTGAAAACCAAGAAGAGATACTGCTTATAAATAGGGTATATTCTATCTAACTCTTCTCAATAGGATAAACTACCATTTGTCATAGAAAGTGGGGAATGAGAAAGTAAATGCAATCACTCATCTTTCATCTAAAATGTGTAAGACTGTGAAGGAATTGTGATTGTTTTCCACATTTTTTAGCCATTTACCAACACTTTTATCAAAGTAACAAGTTGTTTTTTTCCCTCAAAAAATAAAGCACCAACAAATATAAATAAAATGTCAACTCTAATAGTTCATCCTTGTGATTTCTTCCTTCTATATATATTGGGAATAAAAATCAGGGGCATAGGATGTCATTCAAGGAACACATTACTGAATGAATGTCCATTAAATCGAGAGCTAGGATGCATAGTGAAATATGAACTGGACAGTGTTCAGAAAGCCTGAGCACAAGTCCTATCTGTCACTTTTCAGTATGTGACCTTAAGCAATTTGCTTAACTTTTCCATGTCTTGGTTTACTCTCTGTAAGTAAGAGGATCAAAAATGAACACCAGACTACTTCGTAGAATTATGTCGAGCATCAAAGGAGAAAAACATATGGGCAAGCACCCTCCAAACAATCCTGCGTTATTAACACACAGGGTAATACTATAAAAACTAGGCACAACAGCATTTTCATGTAATGAATGACCTACAGACCTTCCCTGACTGGCAGGTGTGAACTGTTATATGAGTTTTCTGGGAACTTGCAGTCTGAACCAAGCTTGTAGGCATCCACAGTCACTCCTTCCCAGTTCCTTACATTTCTAGTCGTTCAAATGTTAGGAGGCCCCAGGCTAAACCTGGACTTCCAATTGCATTTTTCAAAACTGTGGGGTTCTGAATTATTTCCCCTGAGAAGGAAGCTTTGAGAGGGAGCCTATAGTATACAACAAGGAGAGAAAAGTGGCTGGCTGTGATGTTGGAATTAGAAAAGAGCAAACGAGTCAGAAAATATGGAGAACAATTTTGAAACGGACAAACGGACTTCTGAGCGTCTCCTCAGTGGAGCTTGGGGCACTGTCTAACAGGTCCTTTGGGAACCTCTGATTCTATAGGGGCCTGTGCCTTTCACCATGTTTGACTGAGGTATTTAACAACTTTTTGAAGTTGTAGAAAACCGATGTTAATGCAAATAATTCATGTTCTTAGAGATACAAATAAACTTTGTTCTGCAATTGATTTCCACCTGGTGGAAGAGAGGATTTTTAAAAGTTACAAAAGTCCCTTTTTAAAAGGGATGTTGACCAATTTGCATATATTCACAAATTCATTTCAGCATTCCTGATTGCCTATAAATGTGTCTGTTCTTCCAATTTTCTTTAAAAACTAAGATGGTCTTACCATCTTGCTGGTTTGCTTATTAATGCATGAAATAAAATCTTTGACACATGTTCACTTTATATTTGTTTGAGTCAAGATATTACTTTCTAAAAATTACCCTATAAGAAGAAAATGTTATCCAAAAAATTGATTGATGACTCTACCAAATGGAACAGTCAAGGAATTCTAAAGACTCCATATTTATTGTAGTCATTGCAAAGTAATTCGAAGTTAGGCCAAGGCCCTCCAAACCTCGTCATTTAATTCCTTGGTTATAAATAATCCAACAGGAAACTCACCCCTAGAATTGGCCATTGGAAGTTGGAATGGAATCATAACCCAGTACTTGGCCCCTTGGAGCCACAGTAAATGTGCTATAAAAATGTCAAATACATGTGATATCTTTTGTGAGAGATCATGTTAGTGGCACAGCCTGAAACTTAAAAAAAACCTATGTGGATGTATAGTTCTATAATTATAATAAGAAGACAAAGGGCGTGAATTCAACAGGCAAAATTTCATATCCTCTCTGCATTTTCCCCAAGTATATCATCATAGCAAGGGTACTGGCACTCTATTTTAGATTGTAAATACATTACATATTTTGCCTCATCAAAAAATAAATTAATAAAGAAATAAAAATAAAAATTATCCTTTAATAAGATACAAGTAAGGAGCTCAGTTATCCTAGTGAACATTTTTTAGAAGGCTCTATGTAAGTGAAAAGTGGTCACCAAACACTTCACAATTTCATAACTCATGCCCAGTGAATGAATTTTCTACAGAATACAGGAAGTACTAATTGCACTGCATTATTTGCTGTAGTAAAAAAAATCTTATAGCTGAAGCAATTTAAAAAGAATTAAGGCTGTCAATAAAATTCAAATAAAAGTGACATGGATAAACCAAAACCTGAATAAAGCTTGCACTAATAATAAATAAGGGTAGTCCAAAAACGTCACTCTACCTGCTGTTCACCACAAATTTATCTTCTAAAAACACTTAATTAAATCACGGTTACATAGTAAAATTATGATCTGGGTTTTCTCTTTTGCCTACTGCATTCTGATGGAAGAGCAAAGTAAAGATTTGAAATATAGAGAGCAAATAAGGGAACACAGACAATTAAAATGAATGAGGAAATTCTGAATAATCAAGATATGCTTATAGCAGTCTAAATCATATAGGAAGATATAAATATGAGCATCAGTGATGCAGAGTTACCATGAATTTTTTTTAAATGGGAAGATTATTTTATATTAAATGCCCAAATTATTGGCCTTTCACAATTTCTGTTAATACAGATTGCCAACCTAGAGCATCTCTCATTCCACAGTCCTGAAAACAGACAATATGTAGTTGCCGAGAAGGCTCAATATATGGTAGACACAGTCCACAGGTCCAGCTCAGAAATTTAAAAACTGCAGCCAACGTTTACTGAGAATTACCTGACCTGAAACACTGTGACAGGATGTATGGATACAAAGATGAAAAAAAAAAGTATGAATTGTCTTTTAAAAGCTTACAGTTCTCACTGGGGAGGATGATATGTACTTCTTATAACACAAGGGTAGATAAGTGCTACCCTTCGTGTATGAACAAAGTGCTCTGGAAGGGCAGGAGAGGAATCAGTCTTACAGGTTTCTAAGAAAACGTATGTTGCTACCCAGGGAACAACAGAAAACTGTCCTAGTCCCCGCTTATTTGGGTGGTCTTCAATCTTTTAAAACATGTTCCATGTAAATTTTCTCTCCTTTGTTAACAGCTCTTAAATCACTCTCCTGCTGCAAGACTTATCCTATGTTCTCCAAAGCAGCCCTCTCCTTACTTCTTAACTGAAATTGAGTCCTTCGGATGAGAAGCCAAAAGCTTCAAATACTCCCCAGCTATAAATTCACCTGCAACCCCAACAACCCACACCTGTCCCCCACCCACGCTTCTCTTCAGAAATGAATCTCTTCACCTGAGATCAAGTTTCCATTTCTGCCTCCACACCCATCAATCTTCTCAAGGACTTTCCCTAGTTGATTATTGGCCTCCCACATCCCCCTATTCCATTTACATAGGTTTTTTAAAAACATCTTTAAAAGATTTTATTTATTTATTTTTAGAGAGGGAAGGGAAGGAGAAAGAGAGAGAGAGAGAAACATCAATGTGCGGTTGCTGGGGGCCGTGGCCTGCAACCCAGGCATGTGGCCCACAACCCAGGCATGTACCCTGACTGGGAATCGAACCTGCAATGGTTTGGTTCACAGCCCGCGCTCAATCCACTGAGCTACGCCAGCCAGGGCTTTTTAAAAACATTTTTAAAAGTGCTTGAATATTCACCAACTTTTAACAATCTCTTATATTTGTCTTTCTCTTCCTTAGCATCCTAAAATAACCTAAAAACATTTATTCATTTCCATTTCATTTCTTAAATATCTGCCACATAGCTGCAATTTCTCCACCTCTACTTCACAATAGCTCTTGACAAAGTCACCAATAATTCCTTGTGAAAAATCAAATATGCATGGTTCACTTTCTGCCTTAACTTCTCTATATAGTTCTTGAGCCATTGGACAGCTTCTTTCTTGCTCTTGTCCCCTGGTCTCTATGATGTCTCTGGGTTCTAAATTTCTTTCCACTGTTTAGTTTACCCATGCCAGCTTCCTTATTGAAAACTATTTATTGATTCACAATAAATATTAGTGTTTCTAAAGGCTTCATATTCAGCATTGCCTTCCCTTCTTCAATATTCTCCCATACTTCATGATTTTAACTGCCTACACACATTTTAAAAATTTTTACAAAATATGTTTATTGATTTTTAGAGAGAGAGGAAAAGAGAGAGTGAGTTGAGAGAGTGAGGC